ATATAATCTTTTCTTTATGCTAGAGCTATAATATATCAGAAAATTCATGAATGGTATATAGATAGGTTTAATATCATATAATTAAAATTCTGTATATGGTCCATTAATGTTGTCTCAGTCATATTTATACCTTATTATGTTTTTCATGTATAAATGCAATGTAGGATAAAATGGTAGAAAATTTATGATATTATATAAATCTTAGACTACATCTAAGCCAACCATAAGTTTACTAATAAGAAAATATTTTACACAACAAATATCTAGAACTATTAACTCCTCTATTTTAAATTAGAAAATATCATATTTTTATAGAAATTACTTTTTTATATTATAATTTAGATATTTTATTTTTTCTTTTATTATATTTAGTAATTTTTAAAATTTATTTAAAAAGATTCCTTAAAATTACATTATATTTTTTTTAGAATTATTTTTTCCATATTTGTATTTGATATCCTCTCCCTTCATAATATTTACATTTATGCTTTTTAGAAGTACTATCTAAAGGTTAAGGTATTATATTTTATATCATTAAGATTCTTTGTGTATATGTTTTTATATAGAGAGAATGCTAAAATGAATTAAGATTCTTACCTTTATGTTTAATTTATTTTTATATAAATTTAAATTGAGGCTAAAATCTTTCAATGAAAGTTATGTTTTTATCCTGATATTATGGTATTTATGGTTCATAATATTGTTTTGTTCCTAAAACCATAACATATCAGAAAATAAAAAAATGGTCCATTGATTGCTTTATTAAAATTAAAATTTTAAGTGGTGATGAATCACATTTTTTAAGATATTTTATGTATCTGTTTTCCATGTATCAATGCACAAATTATTATTGTAAATAACAGACATTCATCAATGAATCTACTCATATTGAGTTTTCTATTAGCTCAGATATAGTCTCATATTTGTGCAATATCATAAAGTTAAAAATCATAAGATTATGATAAAAGTTTAACTTATTTACAAGATATAATAGCTGGAGCTATTCAACTCTTCTATTTTAAGTTATAAAATATATCATTTCTATAGTCACTACTTTATTTACTTTTAACTTTATAGTATATCTTTTATTGTGTGTACTATATACCATCTTTGTAAAAAAAATTATGTTTAATTTTAATAATGTAGCATTGAATTAATCAGATACTCTTTGTTCTATAAAGTTTTTATTCTATAGAAGAAAGAGTATATGATTGATTTGATAATACATGTTTAAACATATTGAACATATTTTTTGTTTTAAATATATCGTAAATAGTAGACATAATAAAAAAATTCATCAATGAATACCATCTTTGTACAACTAAATGTTTAAAATCATTTGAACCTAGTGCATTATATTATCTTGGATCAGTTGTCTAATTGCCTTTTATATGTATTACAATATCACTTATGCCTCTTTGAAATTTTGTTAATTTTAACACTTCATTCTCTATTTCTTACAATATTGTGAATGCATTAGCATAGGGATTTATCTCTTTTAATAATTTATCAAGACCACCCATTAGTTGCTCATTGGATTTAGAATTGTGTTTGTTTTTTTATTTTTATCTCCGTTGCTTGAGCAGTATCTAAAATATTTCATTGTGAATAAGCTGCATATTTTTCATTATTTGGTTTGAAACTTCCAATATTTTATATATATAAAATTAGGGAAACCTACTGCAATGATCAATGAGGCTCTTTTGTTTGAATATATTGGATGATTAGTGAAAGATCTCGATTCAACTTTGATCTTTATTTATATATCAATAAACGTTTTACAATTCTTTCTTTACATTTCAACTCCCTCGTTTTCCTTTTCGTTCCAACTTGTTTTCATTCTGCAGTTGTTCTCGGCAGCCACTGAAAATGTTTTCCAGCCATAGACATAAGAGATGTTGATGTCCGGAGAATACAAAAAAGAAAACCATTGGCTGGTATCCTCCCTTTCCCAGCGTCTTGTATAAAATTGCTCCTAGCCCCCACATTTCGATGGCTACCATGTAGAGCTCCAATCCTTGTTCTCCACCACCTCAGCTGCCATGTACTTCGCTGTTGTGATATCTCCTAAAGGTGCTGATCACCACTTGTCATGCATGTTTAGCTTGGAAAGAATGTTGTCGAGCTTGAGATTCTGGTGAACCACGCCCCTCAAATAAATCTCTTTGAAGGTCTTTACCAGCTGCTTGATGATTCTGGCTGCTTTCTCCTCACCAATCTTCTCGCAAATATGCTATATTTAAAAGACCAAATAATTATGGAATAACGCCTTAAGAAGGGAAGGCAAAATTTCCACCAACGAACACAACCACTGGAGGAAAAATGCCCGTGCCCTGTCCAAAAGGAGACTCGGACAACACCACAAAGTCAGCAAACTTTCCTGGCGTCAGCGAATCCTCCAATGCAGCTGCATACACAGCCGAGGATGTGTACCTGTGAATCCAAAAACAAAAACTGCATTTCAGTTTCTCATCTGTTATCTCTTACCCTGCCACTACGTCCCATGCAGATATCCTTTCCTCGGGATGACTCCAGCCTGAAGTGTTCTCTCCACGGCTGTGCGGATTCCTCCAAGTGGATTCACTGCTACCACCTTGAGACAAACCATTCATGTAACGCCAAAGAAAAAGTATTTGACAGGCTTACAGTCAGGTCCTAGAGCAACCACACTACCGTTTCCGAGGAGGGAAATCATTGCACTTCACCAGTTTATACCCCTCTTTGTGGCAAGCCTGTAGCTTTTGCATTATAGAAGTGTAAAGTAGGGACCATGTATTAGCACCCACTCTGCAAAAGAGAGTCGATTAGGAAGGATTCTAGCAGTGTATCACCTTTTCACGTCTGTGTTCACAGAAGATTATAAAGAAGGTAAACTAACAAAAAAAAGTACATTACTAAAAAACAAATTGCTATGCGTTGCATGTAGCAACGCTTGGTTTGTTTAATGGTAGTTTTATTATTACTTATTAATCTAATTGATTAAATAAAGTTTATAATCATAAGCATGTTAGTAATTTATAAACACAAGATTAATCTTATTGCATATCAACCATTAGATAATAGAATAAAAAAGAATATACTAGAAAGGGTTTAGGAAAGTTTATAAATTATAAACATGTTTATAAATTATAAATACCAGATTAATCTAAATGAATACCAACCGTTAGATGGTAGAATATCCCAGAATATCCAAGCATATTCTAGGTATATTCACTACCATCCCAGTCCCCCTATAGGTTTGCTTAAGCAAACCAAAAACAATCTTTTGTATTGTGTAGACAAAGAAGAAACCCAGAAGAACAATAAAAAGGTGAGGCTGTGTAATAAAGACTTTGTGAAACTTTAATAATTATAGGAAGAGCAAGTATGGATATCCATGGTTTCTTTGAACTCCTCTTTGCTCGGTTGGCCTTTACTACGGCCTTTTGACCAAGGCTTTACTGCATGTCATTGAAGTTAAAATTTTACACAATGATATGCAGGTAAAAAAAAAAAAGAATCTCTTTGAAACCAAAAAAATGGAGATATGCCATTCATTGTAAAATGTTAGTAGTTCTCTATAAGGCTTGCATTCTTTATTACAATTTGTCCTGTGGTTTCCTCCTGTGATGTTTTCCTTCCTGGCATTAGAGAGTAACTGAGGATGTAAGATTGCACTGCCTGAGCAAAGCCAGGCTTGTACGAGAAGAGCAGCCCACGGAAGAGCTTCCCATCGATGGAGGCATCTAGCGTGTATCCGTAGTTGAATACGTTGCTTACTCTAGCCTCGAACATCTTCTCGCCTAGCAGCTGAACGTGAGCTTGAAACTCTGTAGCATGAGTTTGACAGGGAAAATTTGGAGAGGTCCAAGGTTTTCTGCAGATACCTCCGTGAGATGAAACCAAGCTCTTGTCCGCATCCCGTTGCTTGTCTAGCACGAATGGTGTGGCATGATACTCTTGCCGCCGTCTCTTAAGTTCCTTACGCATGGATAGCTTTGGTTCTGATGGATCTTTCTCCCTCAGCATCTTTTCACAGAAAAATGGCAACCATATTGTCAGCAGCAATGTCAATAAAAGAAGAAGCCAACCTGTGTCGAGGAAATACATGTCATCCAGAGCTTCAAGCTCTTCGTTACATCCCCCATAGAAGAATAATATGCCTCGCTCTACGTTCACCGGCTCTTGGCATCAGCTCGGCACCAGTCGTCTTTACCTCCTGCCATGCCATTGTTTCTGGAACACAAATGAATTCGCAAGTTTAAAACCAGCACAATGTATGTACCTGTGTCCAGAATATGAACGTCGTATAGATAGGCATTACCACCGTCCTCACCACCCATGACAATGCAACAGTTCTTATAGGAAGAGCAGGTATAGGCGAGACTCCAGTGGTAGAAATCTTCTTCCAGACAAAAGTATCTACAGGAAAAAAAAGAGTTTAGAAGAAAACCAGGAAAGATAACAGGATATTACTCGTGTTCAAAACATGGAGGTCGTTGTAGTACTCCTCTGAGGGATCGCTGGATTTCCCACAAGAGATGCGCTATGTCCTTCTCTCGGAGCAGGAACATCACCAAAAACGTCGGGTTTCCCCCAGGTGTTGGTAGCTGCATCGGATGATAAGAACAAGAAAAAAAAATCGATAGAACTCGCTTACCAGTATCCAAAACAAAGAGATCGTCTAGCGGGCTGGTTCCATCGGTACCACCAAACACATAGAGCTTAGACCCGACGGCCGTGGAGCTGTGGCTGTCCCGAGGAGAAGGGTGCGTTCCTTTCATCACAGGCTTGCTCCAGATGTACGTCCCTGCGCGATCCCACCAAAACATGATCAAAACCATATTTCCGGAAAACCCAGAAGATGAAACTTATACCAATGTCAAAGACGTGAACATCGTTGGTCTGGCACTCGTCCCGGCCGCAGCCACCGAAAATGTAGATGAGATTCTTGACCACATTGCAGGTGTGGCCCAATTTGCACCCCAGCGGCTGCTGCTGGAGCTGATTGCTGGATCGGGTTTATAGCGCTGCAAAATAGAAATCCCTCTCAATGCATTAAAAACACAACTGAAGAACAAGGAAGTGAACCGTGGACGAAAATTTCTATTTTTTCTCTTGGTTCCAGCCTCGAGCACCTGGAACAAACAGGAACTTTAAGCCTCGAAAGAGAATAGCAAAGAGCAAGAGAGTGAAAAACCTTGATTCTAGTCGTGGTTCCAGCCTCAAGAACCTGGAACAAACAGGGACTTGAGAGACTCGAAAAAAGAATAGCGATGAGCAAGAGAGTGAAGAACCTTGATTCTAGTCGTCGATGACAACGTGAATCCCCTCGTTGTCCAAGACGTCGTCCCTGTCGTGCCCTCCATCAGAGCCTCTTCGCCTTTCACTCCCAATCCTCGTCGCATTTCCGAGCAGAGCACGTCAATCTACCGAATGCACCTGCGCAGGCGGATGCCGGCGGATTTGTTCCCCGCGTAAGTCTGGAAGGCATCGAGCCTGTTCTCGCTGATCATCGAGCACAACTATGGCGACACAGAGAAAGCCGTGAGCCTCTCAAACCTTTGCAAACGGAGAAACAAACACAACCTCGTTGGAATAGGCTGGGACTTTCAGCCGCTTAGGATTGTTATCCAGTGCCGTTCCCAGGACTTCTTCCGGAGCTGTCCAAAACGAACGCGTTAAAGTTTTTTCTAGTGTCTAAATCAAAGGAAATCACTCAAAGGTGTTGGATAAGGAACAAATGTAGGTTGCGGCTTTTGGTAGGAGGTTTTTGGTCCCTCGCCAGGCTCGATGTCACCGTTGCTGCGATTGGCCGGAATATCTTGGTCATCCTGGAACATCTCAAGTTAGAATCACAGGGACGATGATAGGGGGATCAAGACTCTTTTACCAGATGATATTTAACCACGGTATCCTGTGCTTTTGAACTCGAGAATGAACCAACCAGTGGCAGCTTCAGTTCTTCACGTACAGCTGACTGTAGCCTTCTAAATCGTTCCATGGTTCTTTGAATGGTCCACCAGGAAAGTATGATCCGAAATCAACTACTGAGGTGCTCTGCAATGAAGACCTCATCAAACACACACACATACACAGAGGCACACACACACACACACACACACACACAGAGTACCTTCCTGCTAGCGATGATCGATGCTCTCTCCTCATGGTCACGCGCCCTAAAAGACAATTGAAATTTTTTATGATCCCAAAAGTCACGACTCCCCATTGTTTAATCTCAGCTGTTAGATTTTGGCATATGCCCAGAATAAGTGTTGCCAGTATATGCCATTATTATACGGGCTCTTTCGTTTAAATATATGAGTATGATGATTTGACCATCTTTACGGTCAAATTGTAACACTTTCCGTGAAAAAGTGATCAAAAGTCACTCAGGATCCTTGGTGAGAGAAAAGGACATCACTCGAGGCACTCGTCTTGAGAGTGCTGGCGAGAGCATAACTTGGGTCCTCATGCCCAAGCACCCCGGACTTATCAGATCTACCGCATATTCCAATTAATCTTTTAAATCTAACCGTTAATCTATTTCCATCAATAGGAGCCTTCCGATCCAGCCCTAGTACAAGATTTCCCGATTCTTGGACCTCTTGGAAACCAGCTTGGAAACGTAGACTTGCCCTTGATCATGGAAAGAGCAACTGATTTGTAACCAATCTCCCCACCTCTTATTAACAGTGATATTGATCACGAACACGACGTTGTGAGCGGCTACAAGACACTGAGTGCCATCTTCAAGACCAAGTTCCTCCGCGAGTGCTGGCTCAAGAAGGACTTGTCGCGCTGGGTTTGTGTGCTGATCGACAACTCCTTCTTCAGCTGGATCTTGCTCTTGGCCTCGAGCGCGGAAAGCACCCATACCAGACAGATGCCATACCGATGCTCTGCGATGGTAGACAATCCTTCGTTTATGTACGAGCAAGAGCTGTGTACCATTTCTGTGATCGCGAGGGCAGAGTGCTCACCCGCCTGCCGAGTCTCATGCGGAAGCGAGCTGATGGCCGAATTTGCAGCCTTCCAGGCTGTGTACAGGAAAAACTGGCAAGAGCTTATGCCGAGAATAGGCATCTCTATCGAGAAGCTTGTCCAGAAGCACAGAAGGTGGATTTACAGCCTTCCGTACTATGCTTGGTTCTAACTGTTCTTCCTTCACATATATTTGACAAAATTATTGTTAATGGCATATGTGAAATTATCTTTGAGGAGCTGAGAGGACATTGGAAAAGATCCCACGCACAATTCCATCTTGCTGAACACTGATTGAACAGCTTACCATGAATGGGTATCAAAAGACCTGTTCTATCTTATGCTACTCAGTGGCTCGTTGTGAAAGATACTGTGTCCACAAACAGACCAGCTACGAGGCAAAATGGATGATAAGTGATTTATTTTGGAATGTTTTTGGTCTCATGGAAGCTGATGTTTGTAGCATATGCCCAGGCCGGTCACCTGCACTTGACAAATTGATGTAACTATCACATCAAAATCTGAGCATATTCGCGAGTACTCCAGCAAAGTTGCAAAGTTTCCTCCACGGGCACACTCTTGAAACCTACTATCATGATGATATTAGAAAATTTCTAGACAAGATTCAAGAACAAAATATTCTCTGGAATTCTCAGGTTGTCAATTCTTCCTTGTTTCTTTTAATGTTTTGCAGTTTGATGGATTAGCAGAAATCGATTAACTTCAAAGAGTCTTATATAACAGCTGAGCACCTCGTGCCTAGTCTAGTGGAGCATGGCGCTCCTAGTTGCCCAAGCGTTCCAGGAGCAACTCTCCAAGCGAGCATTAGAGAGTCCAGCTTTCACATTTGATCGAGGTCATGCATCATCAACTTTGGCATGCGCTTCATTGTGTCAGAAACAAGCAACAATGTGGCCTACTCCTTTCCAAGGTGATGGAGAATTTGAAAAGGAGCCAGCTCACGGCCAAGCACCTGATCCGGCATTGCTATCTCACAAGAAAGCAGACTTTATCATCAAATATAATACACTTGCAAATTGAAGGTGGAGATGTAATGTAACATAATGCTTCAGCCTAGGCACCTCAATCCCCACTGAATGAAGTGCTTTCACCATTTGCTTGAGCTCTAGAGATGCAGCTAAGAAGTTTATGGCCCAAGCATTTACCTGTGTAAAGGAATGAGTTTGTAAAAATCATAATAAATTATTAGACTAATGGTCTCCTTGAAACTCAAGCTTTTGCTCATTGTTATTGCTTCAATTTTGCCACTAGCATATGATCTTGGTTATGAACTCTGTTCCACCAAGCTCGACTAAATGCGGAAAAATATTTGAACCAACAAAATCTCTTTAAACGATCCAGGAGATTAATAGTGTGAGGAAAAGCGTAAGTCAATGCAAAAGTGAATACTCTTATAAAACTTCGTCATAAAATGAAGTTCACATGCCCAAGAACTCCGAGACTTTTGAATAACACCCTTTCTCTAATATCTCTTTGAAGTTCACGCATAAAATTTTAATCTCCTTTGGTGACTGACACTGAATAAAAACTTTGATTGGACAAGCATCCCTAGTTAAAATAGGATGACGTGTTGAAATTTTGGCCTAAGACAATAAGTTGAAGTTAAAGAGATTAATATACTCCTTCTTGAATCAATTCACTGTTACAACACAAAGACCATCGGAGGGATCTAGAAAAGGAATAGAGGAGAAAGATGAAAACACAGTAGGAAGTAATGGAAAGACAAAAGTGATGGAAGCAAAGGTAAAAAAGGGATGAAGGGGAAATAAAGTGAGAGGAATGGAAAAAATATAAAAAAATATGAAACAATGAGGAGAAGCTTTAAAATAATATTTAACATGATTGTATTGTAACCAATCCATACTAAGAATGAGGTTAAAATTTTGACTCGACACCACTTGCAACAATTGAAGTTCAAGCTCAAGATCTCCCACACATATAACTAGGTCCACCTCATCTCATGCATATACATGTGTATAATTGTTGCCATAAATAATAAAAATTGGCTTTATAGTACGACACAATTGTAAACGGCAACATGTGGCAATAGGTTGAGCAATAAAAGAAAAACTTGAGCCTATATCAACTAATATGAAGAGAATTATAAAAGATCTCTTGTTATAGAAATAGGCTTAAAAAGTAAACATTAGATGAACTTGTGCTAAGTGAACCCCTTGATAGTACTTTCGAAAGAAGGATGGAAGGGTCACTAACTTATTCACATAAAGGCTTTCCACTACTTGTGCGACTCCTTGTTTTTCAAAAGAATCTTTGTGTCAAGACTTTTTACCATAGTAGCACCAATAGGATATTATTAATGCCAAAGCCTTTACCCAAGAAATGAAGGACACCAATCTAGAAAACACTGATAACACCAATACACGTAGCCAATCTTATCACATACTCAATAGTAGATATCACAGCTATAACTATGTCCTTGCCCTTGTCCCTAAACACTAGTAACAATAACATTAACCTCTATTGGAACAAGACCATCTCCCACATAAAATGGTGCTAAAGGATATGTAGTAAAAAGTGGAAGAAGCAACATGTTATAATATTGTGTTTGTCTAAGAGTATTGTTAAAGGTGGCTAAAGTAAATGTATGCACAAGTCCTATAAGATTTTGACAAAGTGTTAACTACAACATTCTCAACTTGATCCGCTTCGATATATTTTGTTTCACATGAAACAAACTCTAGAAATAAATATTTAATTCAATCATTAACTTAGATGGCCCTTGACAAAAACAATGCAATTGTTGAAAAACATCATCATAATTGTCAGTATGTCCAAATGTTAAGAGAATGCTCCAATTTACACAAGTGGCTGCACTCAAACCATTTTACCACTATAATACCATCCCTTGGAGACATGTAGGAAATTTATACAAATACTGAGCATCATCTCAAGAATGATAAGTAACAATTTGTGAGACACAAAATCCCTAGGCCCCAAAGTGGAGCCAGAAGGGTGCCACGTGGTAGTGGCTGAAGTGAAAGCCAAACGAGCGTAACATATTTGGACTGAAAGCTCCGACTTGAAAGGTTTAGAGCGGGAGTGGAACTCTCAATGAAGTGCTTGAGGAACAAGCACGAAGTGAGCAATAAGTGAGTCTCTAGAAAAGGGACACAAGAGGACCTGAGATGGACCGAAATAGAGTCCGAGATGGAGTCCAAGAAGGATGTAAGCGACTAAATTTTCCATTTTACTTTAGTCACTTAACCACACCTCCAACCACTTGGAGGAGTCTCACTCACAACCTTCATAAGTCCTATTTCAGACTTGGGCTTGCTAACCCCGAGAATGGCATCCCCGCCATTCAAC